AAGAGAGAAACGTCAGATTACTCTCAGAGGATCTCCAATTGGACTCACAGCAGACTTCTCATCAGAAACCCTACAGGCTAGGAGGGAATGGCGAGATACAGCCCAAGTAATAAGAGAAAAAACTGTCATACCAGAATATTATATCCTGCAAAGCTCTCATTTGTGAATGAAGGTGAAATGAAGACCTTTCATAGCAAACAGAAATTGAAAGAATTTGTCACCACTCATCCAGCCCTGAAAAAGATGCTTAAAGATGTGTTACACACAGAAACACAGAAACATGGCCATCTGTAGCAAAGAAGATAAAGAAAGAAAATCTCCCAGCCTGGTGCTACGGCTCAATAGGCTAATCCTCTGCCTGCGGTGTCGGCACACTGGGTTCTAGTCCTGGTCGGGGTGCTGGATTCTGTCCCAGTTGCCTCTCTTCCAGTCCAGCTCTCTGCTCTAGCCCGGAAGTGCAGTGGAGGATGGCCCAAGTCCTTAGGCCCTGCACCTGCATGGGAGACCAGGAGAGGCACCTGGCTCCTGGCTTCGGATCAGCGCGATGCACCAGCCACAGCGCACCAGCAGTGGCGATCATTGGAGGGTGAACCAATGGCAAAGGAAGACCTTTCTCTCTGTCTCTCTCTCACTTTCCACTCTGCCTGTCAAAAAAAAAAAATAGAAATAAAGAGAGAAAATCTCCCAGTAAAAGATCACTGGAAGTTCAAAGTATGTATTAGAAATATCTTTGGGAAAATGGCAGCATAAAGTCACTACTTATCAATAGTCACATTGAACGTTAATGGACAACTCTCCAGTTAAAAGACACAGACTAGCTGAATGGATTAAAAAACAAAACCCATCTATTTGCAGTTTACAAGAAACACATCTTTCCAGCAAGGATGCATGCAGACTGAAAGTGAAAGATTGGAAAAAGATATTCCATGTCAATGGAAACCAAAAAAGAGCTGGCATAGCCATCTAAATATCAAACAAAATAAACATTCACACAAAAACTGTTAAGAGAGACAAAGAGGGGCACTGTATAATGATTAAGGCATCAATTCACAGGAAGATGTAACTATTATAAACATATATGCACCTAATTACAGGGCACCGGTTTATTTAAGAGATACGTTAAGGGACTTAGACTCCAGTACAATAGTATTGGGGGACTTCAATACTTTACTTTCAGAAATAGACAAATCAACCAGACAAAGATTAACAATAAAACTGCAGATTTAAATGACACCATAGCCCAATGGATCTAACAGATATCTATACAACTTTTCATCTTACACTTAAAGAATTCACATTCTTTTCAGCAGTGCATGGAACCTACTCTAGGATTGACCACATACTAGGCCATAAAGCAAGTCTCAGCAAATTCAAAAGAATTGAAATCATACCATGCATCTTCACAGACCACCATGGAATTAAGCTGGAAATTAGCAACTCAGGAATCCCTAGAGCATATGCAAACACATGGAGACTAAACAACATGTTTCTGAGTGAACACTGGGTCATAGAATAAATCAAAAGAGAAATCAAAAACGTTCTGGAAGTAAATAAGGATAACAACACAACATATCAAAACTTATGGAATACAGCAAAATCAGTGTTAAGAGGAAAGTCTGTAGCAATAGGTGCCTACTTTAAGAAATTAGAAAGGCACCAAATAAATGAGCTTTCACTGCATCTCAAGGATCTAGAAAAACTGCAGCAAACCAAACCCAAAACTAGTAGGAGAAGAGAAATAATTAGAATTTGAGAAGAAACCAACAGAATTGAATAAAAAAAAAATTACAAAATTTCAGCCAAACAAAGAGCTGGTTTTTTGAAAAAATAAACAAAATTGACACACCATTTGCCATACTAAAAAAAAAAAAGAAAAGACCCAAATCAATAAAACCAGAGATGAAAAAGTGAATGTAACAACAGACACCACAGAAATAAAAAGAATCATCAGAAATTACTACAAAGAGTTGTATGCCAGCAAAATGGGAAATCTATTATGATAGATTCCTGGACACATGCAATCTACCTAATTTGAACCATGAAGACATAGAAAACATAAACAGACCCATAACTGATACAGAAATTGAAACAGTAATAAAGGCCCTCCCAACAAAGAAAAGCCCAGGACCAGATGGATTCACTGCTGAATTCTACCAGACATTTAAAGAAGAACTAACTCCAATTCTTCTCAAACTATTCACAACAATTGAGAGAGAGGGAATCCTCCCAAATTCTTTCTTAATTCCTATATCTGAAACAGATGCAGCAGAGAAAGAGAATTACAGACCAATTTCCCTGATGAACATAGATGCAAAAGTCCTCAATAAAATTCTGGCCAAAGAATGCAACAACACATTAGAAAGATCATCCACCCAGACTAAGTGGGATTTATCTCTGGTATGAAAAATAAATCTTAAAGAAAGTACCATCAGGTAATGCTTCAGGAACACAACTGAATCATTTTTCAATGTAATACTTAGGCTGATGTAAGAGAACTGGCTAATGAAGCTTAAAACACATGTCTGAGGTTAGTGAGCAGCTTAGGCTGCCTGCCTGGGATGCCCACCTCCCATTCCTCTGATTGAGTCCCTGCTGTTCTGTTTCAATTTTCAATTGTACCAGGTACGGACAATCTGAGTTTTAAGCTGTTATTTCAGCCATTGTGCTCCTTAGGGTAGATTTTGTCAATTCTGTTTCCTCACATCCTCCACAGGCTTGGTGTTTCCAAAGTTAAAAATGTTGATCTACAGGGTAAAGTTTCCACAAGTTGAGGTTCCTCTTTGTGGAGTTCCCTGCTCTTTTGGGTAATTCACCACTCTCTCTGTGATTCCTAGGTGTATGTTATTGTGTCTTGATAATAACTGGTGTAATCTGCCTTATAATTGTCTTCTGTACATGACTTCCTTTTTGTTATTTATGGTTATTTTCAGCACGTATTTTTATTAACATAAAAAGAGCAGATTTCATGCATTTCATAGGTGCAGTTCTAAACAAAAAACATATTCCAATCACCCCTGTGTCCCTTCCTAAATTCGACTACTTCCTTCCCATCTTGTTTGTCTTTTAAGTTTTCTGCAAATACGTAATTTCAATCCACTCTATAATCACAGGCTTAATGCACCACTAACCATAATATTCAACAAGTAAAACTGGAAGAGCACAGTAGTTCAACAAGGGCTAAAATCAACAATCAACTCACCAGATTTTCATTTCATCCCTATACTATTTTTTTTTGGATTCCATATTAAACACTGCATATAAGAGAAAACATATGTTTTTCTTGTGGGACTGGAATATTTCACTAAGCATAATTGTTTCCATCTGTGTCTATTTTGTTCCAAAAGGCAGGATTTCATTCTTTTTTTAAGACTGAGTAGTGTGCTGTTGAGCTTATATATATAGCACATTATCCAGTAGTCAACTGATGGGCATATGGGTTGATTCCATATCTGTGGTATTGTGAATTGAGCAATATACATGGGAATACAAATAATTCTTTCATATGCTGATTTCATTTGTTTTGGTAAATTTCCAGGAATGGGATGGCTGGATCTATGGTATATTTAATTTCAGATTTCAGAGAAATATCCATGCGGTTTTCTTGTTGTACTAATTTACATTCTACAGTCAGTCTATTTTTCCACATCATCAACAGCTTACATTATTTTTGATTAGAGGAGAGGAACTAAAAAACTCCAACCAAAAATAATGATAAGCAAATGGGAATACTAACTACCTTGGTTTGTGAAGGACTCGTTGTGTACAGGTGTTGAAATATCACACAGTAGCTCAAAAACATGTACAGTGATTATGTAGATCAGAAATTTAAAAATTAAAAGTTTTCTGCCTATAAAGGCAATAATTTATTATATGTCCAAAAAGATTTGTCTAGCTAATACTTTACTGAGTGGTACCTGCAGATTTAAGATGCTATTATCAACCCGGACACACGTGCATAGTTTTCTGTTGTTAGAAGACATGGAGAGGAAAGCTGAGAGCATCAGAGGTGAACCTGTGGTTTTGGAGGTATGTGCCTGAGATGGGTAAGCTGTTCTGGGCCAGAGTCAAAAGGAAGTTCTAGTTTTTTATTCTTTGTGGGGTTTATCAAGCACACCAGTGACAGCAATTCTATCATATCATGGCATCTAAAATGAAGTGGGAAAAAATCAAATGTCTTTTTGTTTTGTCAACACTGGTGTACTCCCAGTTACTCTCACATACTGGAATTTATTTGGATGATTTGGTTGATCTCAGTATACTAGGATGTGGTGATGCAATTTCAGGTGGAGAGAATTATGTGATAGTAATTGATGGAGAAGTCATATGGCAGTACCCCATACAGATGACAGCTTTCAGAAATCATTCCTGAGGCTGGTGACTGCCAACTACAGTGCTGGCATTGCATGTGGGCTCCAGTTCGAGTCCCGGCTGCTCCACTTCTGATCCAGCTATCGGCTATGGCCTGGGAAAGTAGTGGAAGATGGCCCAAGTCTTTGACCCCCTAAACAACCCATGAAGAGCCCAGAAGAAGCTCCTGGCTCCTAGCTTCAGATTGGAATAGCTCCAGCTATTCCAGCCAATTGGGGGGGTGGTGGAAATAGAATACCTCTCTCTCTCTGTCTACCCTCTCTCTGTGGCTCTTACTTTCAATAAATAGATAAATGTTTTTTTAAAAAGGATTCATTACTGAAAGTTTTCCTTTTTTCACCCCTAAAAAATTTTTCACATTATTGTATGATTTTGAAACATCAATATACAGTTTAACACCTGGCTATGATGCTGGGGTTTTCCAATCCTGAGAGATCATGTGGAAGATCATGGGTACACCGTGTTATAATGGGGTGTATTTGGTGCATACATCACCAAAAAGGTTTATGGTTACCTTGAGGTAAAACGTTCAAAATCCTCTTTTAATTTCAAATATACTGGAGGAGTGGAGTCAAATATGAGAGCATTGACACAAGCTGACGATGCTTGCACAAACCACAAGAGGGCGCATTTTTCTTCAGATGAGGGTTATTTTCCAGATGACTTACGTGGTTTGACAGGTGCATATTTAGTTCAGTCTTCACATGTTTCAATTGCTGCAGGGCAGGGAGGCTGTCTTTCCAAGGAACAAGGATTTTCCAGGAGTTCCTACCCAGAATCCAGGTTCTGGAGCTGGAGTTTCACCCTGACATTTGGGGTGCATCCAAGGCTGCCAGGACTTTGTCTTTCCCCCAGCTCACCAGCCATGCTCTCTGCGTCTTGCTCAGTGACTGTGGTGGTCCTGCTGCTAACTGTGCGTAAGTGATGTTTGGTTTTCTAAATTTTCTAAATTTTCTGTTCCCAGGTCTGGGTGAAGATCTCTAGCCCCACTTCCTTCCAGGACTGTCCTGTTGATACATTCCTAAATAACAACATCTTAATCATTTTAGGACGGACGAATGGAGCCTCAGTGACCCAGACAGAGGGACCCGTTATCCTCTCCGAGGGCTCATCTCTGACCCTGAACTGCAACTACGAAGCTGACTATCTGGATGTTCTTTTCTGGTATGTCCAGTATCTCCATCAGGGTCCTCAGCTCCTGTTGAAAAGTGCAACAGAAAACCAGAGAATGGAGCATCAAGGTTTTCACGCCACTCTTGTCAAGAAGGACAGCTCCTTCCACCTGCACAAATCCTCACTGCAGTTATCAGACTCAGCTGTGTACTACTGTGCTCTGAGAGACACAGTGAGAGGAACCACAGAAGGAGTTGAGCACAAACCCAGAGGTGTGCAGCTGGGGCTGTGGGTGGGCAGCCCTGGGAGGGTGGAGCTAGGTTTCCCTCCAAAGTCATGAAGTGTCTGCAGACACTCACATGGAAGGAACAGATTCCATCTTTGATGTCTCAGGCTTGGGAGCCCTGGAGTAAGTGAGACTGGTGGTGGGAGGAGGAAATCTAGTAAACAGGGGAGTTCCAGTTATCTGAGATGATCCTGCTTTCAGTAAAGGTGCCTCTAGTGTTCCAGCAGGTTGAAGATGTTCCCTGGTGTCTGCTGAAGTTTGCAGTGGCTCCCCTGCCAAGAGAAATGTGGATCTGGTCTCTCCTGAGATATCCTCATGTTGGTCTGGGAGATCTGCAAGGATCTCATCATTTTTGTTAAATATAAGATAAGTTAAATGGGATATCAGAGGTGTAATCCCACTGATGTCAGCCTGGTGCAAGTGGCCCTCCTCACAGCCTGAGCTACAGAAACTCCTGCCCCAGTTCTCAGGACCTTCATTTCCTCTCCAGTTCCTCCTTTGCAGCAATCTTTCCATCTTCTCCCCGGGACAACAGACAAGAGCCCAGTCGGGAAAGACTGTGAGGGGAGGCTTCCCTTGTCTCTCTGTGTGAGACACAAGTCAGCTGTGTGTGGGGGTGTGACCCTGGGTTTTGTGCTGCTTCTGTTCTTATTGATTGGGGGTAAATAGTAATTTGGTTTAAAGTTAGCTCTTCCTTTTTTAGGAGCATATTCTTTTTTTAAGATTTATTTATTTGAAAGTCAGAGCTACAGAGAGGCAAAGGCAGAGAGAGAGAGAGTGAGAGTGAGAGAGAGGTCTTCCATCTGCTGGTTCACTCCCCAGATGGCCACCACGGCCAGAGCTATGCTGGTCAGAGCCAGGAGTTGGGAAATTCCTCTGGGTCTCCCACATGGTTGCAGGTGCCCAAGGACTTAGGCCATCTTCTACTGCTTTCCCAGGCCACAGCAGAGAGCTGGATTGGAAGTGGAGCAACCAGAACTTGAATCAGCTCCCATATAGGATGCCAGAACTGCAAACTGTGGATTTAACGTGCTGCATCACTCTGCTGCCCCAGGAGCATATTCTTTTAATTAGTATTGTGCCTTGTTCTGTTCTTTCAACTGCAGGGGGAATCTCTCTTGCAGAAAGGTAGTGTGTAGGGCTGTGGCATCAAATACATGGGGGTCTCCGAGGGCACCCTCACTGCATGAAAAGAAACTCCTATTTTAGTCCAAGGAACCTGTTTAGAAGTTGTGTTTATCAAACACCCCTCTACTTTGAATCTGGAAGTTGAGTATAAACGTACCGTCAAGTAGAGCTGGGGCTCTGGTGTAGTAGGTAAAGCCGCTGCCTGTAGTGCCGGCACCCCTTTGTTTAGAGTTCCAGTCCTGAGTGCCCCACTTCCAATCCAGCTCTCTGCTATGGCCTGGAAAAGCAGTAGAAGATGGCCCAAGTGTATGAGCCCCTGTACCAGCGTGGGAGACCTGGAAGAAGCTCCTGGCTCCTGGCTTCGGATTGGCACAGCTCCATCCATTGTGTCCAATTGGAGAGTGAACCAGCAGATGGAAGAACTCTCTCTCTTTTCTCTCTCTCTCTCTCTCTCTCTGCTTCTCTTTCTCTCTTCCTCTCTTTCTGTAACTCTTTCAAATAAATAAATAAATCTTTTAAAAAAGAAAATAAAAAAAATGCCTCTTTATGTGCCTGTCCAACCTTATCTGGTTTGTTTCTTCTTCATCTTTTGTTGTTGTTGTTTTTGAGATTCTTGAACTCTTTGTAATTCTTGGATATTCAACCTTTATCAGTTACGTTGTTTGAAAATATTTTATCGCATTCTGCTGGTGGCCTTTTCATTCTGTTGAGTATTTCCTTTGCTAACAGAAGCTTCTTAGCTTGATGTAATCCCATTTGTCTCTTTTTGCTTTGATTTCCTGTGGTTCTGGGGTCTTTCCCAAGAAGTTTTTCCTTATGCAAATGTCTTGTAGGGTTCCCTGAAGTTTTCTCTGTAATTTCATGGCATCAGGTAAGATTTAGATTCTTGAGGCATTTTGGGTTGATTTTTGAAAAGGAGTATGTAGGGGTCTTTATCATACTTCTGCATGCGTAGTTCCAATTTTCTCACTTCCACTTGTCGGAGATGCTGTCCTTCCTCCAGGGATTGATTTTAGCTTCTTTGTCAAAGATTAGTTGGTTGTAGATATGCAGATTAATTTCTGGGGTTTCTAATCAGTTTAATTGTTCTGCAAGTCTATTTATGTGCCATTTCCAGGCTGTTTTGATTATAACTGTCCTGTAAGATGTCTTGATATCTGGTATTGTGATGCGTCTTTTTTTTTAATTGTTGTTATTTAAGACTGTTTTAGCTATTTGAGGTCTGTTTTGTGTCCGTATGAATTTTAGCATCATATTTTTCTAAATATGAGAAGTATGTTGTTTGTAGTTTGATTTGGATTGCATGGAATCTATACACTGCTTTGATTGGTATGTCCTAGTGTGTACTAGTACGATATTAATTCTGCAAATCAATGAACATGGAATATTTTTCCATTTTTGTCTTCTATTTCATTCTTTAATATTTAAAATTTTTATTTATTTATTTATTGACAGGCAGAGTGGACAGTGAGAGAGAGAGAGACAGAGAGAAAGGTCTTCCTTTGCCGTTGGTTCACCCTCCAATGGCCACCGCGGCCAGTGCGCCGGCTATGGCGCACTGTGCTGATCCGATGGCAGGAGCCAGGTGCTTCTCCTGGTCTCCTATGGGGTGCAGGGCCCAAGCACTTGGGCCATCCTCCACTGCACTCCCTGGCCACAGCAGGGAGCTGGCCTGGAAGAAGAGCAACCGGGACAGAATCCGGCTCCCCCACCGGGACTAGAACCCAGTGTGCCGGCGCTGCAAAGGATTTAAAATTTTTATTGTAGAGATCTTTCTTTTTTTCAAGTTTACATTTTTAAAACTTTTATTTAAAAAATATAAATTATGAAAGTACAAATTCTGGACTATAGTGACTTTCCCCTGCATAATCTTCCTCCCACCCGCAACTATCTCATTTCCCACTCCCTCTCCCAACCCATTCTTCATCATGTTCATTTTCAATATCTTTACATACAGAAGATCAACTTAGTATATACTAAGTAAAAATTTCCACAGTTTGCACCCACACAGAAACACAAAGTATAAAGTACTGTTTGAGTACTAGTTATACCATTAATTTACATAGTATGACACATTAAGGACAGAGATCCTACATGGGGAGTAAGTGCACAGTGACTCCTGTTGTTGGCTTAATAAATTGACACTCTTATTTATGACGTCATTAATCACCCGAAGCTCTTGTCATGAGCTGCCAAGGCTATGGAAGCCTGTTGAGTTCGAAAATTCAGATCTTTAGATAAGGCCATAATCAAAGTGGAAGTTCTCTCCTCCCTTCAGAGAATGGTAACTCCTTCTTTGATGGCCCCTTCTTTCCACTGGGATCTCACTCTTAGGGATCTTTCATTTAGGTCATTTTATTTTTTTTGCCAGAGTATTTGGTTTTCCATGCCTGAAATACTCTCATAGGCTTTTTAGCCAGATCCGAATGCCTGAAGGGTTGATTCTGAGGCCATAGTGCTGTTTATGACATCTGCCATTCTATGAGTCTGCTGTGTATCCTGCTTCTCTTGTTGGATCATCTCTCAAAGAAACTGGAAAAATGAAGTCAGATGTGAGAGCCAAGAAGCAAGCTGCCAATGCTTGGACTAACCACAAGAGGGCGCATCTTTCTTCAGATAAGGGTTATTTTCCAGATGACTTACGTGGTTTGACAGGTGCATATTTGGTTCACTCTTCATTGTTTCAATTGCTGCAGGGCAGGGAGGCTGTCTTTCCAAGGAACAAGGATTTTCCAGGAGTTCCTACCCAGAATCCAGGTTCTAGAGCTGGAACATCACCCTGACATCTTTCCTCCAGCTCACCAGCCATGTTCTCTGCGTCTTGCTCAGTGACTGTGGTGGTCCTGCTGATAACTGTGCGTAAGTGATGTTTGGTTTTCTAAATGATTTTCTGTTCCCAGGTCTGGGTGAAGAACTCTAGCCCCACTTCCTTCCTGGACTGTCCTGTTGATACATTCCTAAATAACAACATCTTAATCATTTTAGGACGGACGAATGGAGCCTCAGTGACCCAGACAGAGGGACCCGTTATCCTCTCCGAGGGCTCATCTCTGACTCTGAACTGCAACTACCAAACCAGCTATTCAGGGTTCCTTTTCTGGTATGTCCAGTATCTCCATCAGGAACCTCAGCTCCTATTGCAAAGCGCAACAGAAAACCAGAGAATGGAGCATCAAGGTTTTCACGCCACTCTTGTCAAGAAGGACAGCTCCTTCCACCTGCACAAATCCTCACTGCAGTTATCAGACTCAGCTGTGTACTACTGTGCTCTGGGAGACACAGTGAGAGGAACCACAGAGGGAGCTGAGCACAAACCCAGAGGTGTGCAGCTGGGGCTGTGGGTGGGCAGCCCTGGGAGGGGAGAGCTAGGCTTCCCTCCAAAGTCATGAGGTGTCTGGGGACACTGGCAGGGAAGGAGCAGATTCCAGCTTTGATGTCTCAGGACTTGGGAGCCCACTAGGAGTGGGAGGAGGAAATCTAATGAACAGACGAGTTCTAGTTATCTGAGAGGATCCTGCTTTCAGTAAAGGTGCCTCTGGTGTTCCACCATGTTGAAGATATTCCCTGGTATCTGCTGAAGTTTTCAATGCTCCCCTGACAAGAGAAGTGTGGATTTCATCTCTCCTAGATATTCTCTTCTCTCAGTTTAGGAGATCTGCTAAGATCTCATTTTTTTGGTAAGTGTAAGATAAGTTAAATGGGATATCAGAGGTGTAATCCCACTGATGTCAGCCTGGTGCAAGTCGCCCTCTCACACCCATGCTACAGAAACTCCTGCCCCAGATCCCAGGACCTTCATTTCCTCTCCAGTTCTTCCTTTGTAGGAATCTTCCCACGTTCTCCAGTCACTACAGGCATAGTCAAGGAGTTTGAGGCAAGAGGAAATCTTTGAAGGCAAATGCTTAGAGAATTGCATTAGATATTTTGAGAGAATAACCTTTGGCCAGCAATAATGAATCACCAGACTGATGCTAGTCCAAGGTTAAGCAGATGAAAGTTCCTGTGGAATCCTATAAGGTTGCCGTGGTGTCTGTGCAGTGTGGTTCTGGCAGTCTATTGTGACAGTTAGTATCAGGCAATAATGTGTAAGAACCTTCCCTTCCTAGCCTTATTTATTTATTTATTTATTGACTGTCAAGGTAGACACAAGCAACTCCATTTTGATTACAACAACTTTCACTTTTTTTCACAACTGGTAATAATCGAAAGTAAAAGGTGCTAAAACAGCACTTTCCATTCACTCATCCATTGAACAAATATCAGCTCCAAATGCATACCAGGTGCTATTTCTAGGCATTGGAATACATTAGTATTGAATGTAGGGGATGAGTCTCCTTGGAGATTCTGTTTCCTTAATGTTCTGGGATGCAGATTAGAAGTTGAGTCTATATGGGAGTTGGAGACTTAGGAGAAACTAGTTCCAAGGCTTAGTTTCTTTCTATCAGGCATTCTCATGGAAACATTGCTAAAGTTTGGAGGCTGTTGAATACTTCTTAAATATGTAAGGCAAGTATTTGGAAAGCCTACTGTTCCTAGGGCAGTAACTGGTTCTCCACATTGAGATGGGAGGAACTGCCACGTGTGTTTTGCACCACATTAACCTGAAAGTGAAGTTGTACTATCAGCTGTAATAACAATAAAGCCTGACCCTTTATTTAACAGTTAAATTATAGATGTCTAATAAAATACTAAATAATATTATATTAATGAATAATCATAAGTAATAAAATCTATTTTATTTAAGTCTGCGAGTAGCTTTCTGGGAGTGAGGGTGACAGATTCTAGGTGTTCATAGAGGGAGCCAGGACAGAAAAAGTTCAGTGGAGGTTATGAAACCACAAAGTAGAGGAAGGAGAACTTCAGCTCCCTGGACCATCTTATAGGAGCCATTTGCTCACAGAAGAATCCACTGGAAATGTCTCTGTGTTTCCAATGGTCTTCTTTGCCTGGGCAGGGGTGATCAGCCCACAGCTGGGGCCAGGAACATCCAGGAGGAGCAGACATCACCAGGAGATGCAAACACTTTTTTTCCAGTTCATAGTGTTAATACAGAATCCTGAGAAGGGCTTAATGTCCCCATGACATTGAGAAATGGGGAGAAAAAGCACATGCCTTGTTTCCTACTTATTTTGGCCTCCAGATCAGAGATTCTGGCATTACTTCTGAGCCAAGCCGAACAGAATTCTCCAGGCACCTACAGCCTGTGTGTCCCAATTGCTGTCAACCCTGGCTGCGCGGAAGAATCAGCTGGGGACTTACTTGAAAAAAGAAGTCAGTGCTCGTAACCACCCCAGACCAATTACATCAGAATCTTGGGTGGTTGAGTCCTGGCATGGTGTACTTGAAAGCTCACCCCACCCTACCTGTTGAAGTGCATGCAATCTACTGTCAGAACCAAAGACCCTGCAGTCACCAAACTTTACAACTGGAGCTGCCTGAGCCTGTTCTTTGATTTACAGACATAGTGCTGAGGCAGCTGTCAGGCTAAATTGCTTTGACTGATGGAGCAATGTGGAATACCCTGGGAGAAACAGTTAATAACTGGAACACAGCACTGGGAGCTCTAAGAGCTTTAGAATATGAGACATGAGTGTGACACTTGGCAATTCAACAACATGCAGTAGTTTCTAATTAGTAGGTTAATAATGGTGTTATGGCTTATTCCCATAAGTTATTGTGAAGATCAAGCACCAATTATATATAAAAGTGATTTAGAGGCTGACACTGTGTGTGGCATAGCAGGTAAAGCCACTGCCTGCAGTACGGGCATCCCACATGGGCTCTGGTTCAAATCCTGGCTACTCCACTTCTGATCCAGCTCCCTGCTAATGTGCCTGGAAATGCAGCAGAAGATGGCCCAAGCACTTGGACCCCCACACCCACAAAAAAGACCCAGAGAAGTTCTTGGCTCTGGCTTTGGATTGGCCCAGTTCTGACTGTTGTGGCCATTTGTGGAGTGAACCAGCCAATGGAAGATCTCTCTCTCTCTCTCTCTCTCTCTCTGCCTTTCTGTACTTCTGTATTTCAAATAAATAAATAAATCTTTAAAAAAGTGATTTGTAAATTTTTAAAATTTCAGCAGAAACATAAATAATGAATATTAATAAAGGCTTCTTCTAGGACTGTTTCAAACTTAGCCTCCAGTGGCCCAGTGTGGGTGCTCTGTAATATTTGTTGAGGACACTAATATATACTCTTTTTTTAAAGATTGATTTATTTATTTGAAAGTCAGAGTTACACAGAAAGAAGAGAGGCAAGTCTTCCATCTGCTGGTTGACTCCCCAAATGACCGCAACGGCCGGAGCTGCACGGATCCAAAGCCAGGAGCCAAGAGCTTCTTCCGGGTCTGCCCATGTTCCTTTGATGGTGCGGGATCCAGAACTGAGTGTCATACTCCAGTAATGGGCTGAGCAGTAGATAAGGACACTTATCTTAGTGTTATAATTATTATTGTTGGTGGTCTAAAGGACTGAATCTTTGTGATTCTGCTTGAAATAGAGTGGAGACAAGCTTACCTCATTTTTCCAGGTGAGGGTCTGTGTTCTTGGCTGTTATTTTGTATGCCTAATCTTCTCTTAACTTTGCCTCCGCAGCCCATCACATTTTCCACCCCATCTAATGAATACTCCCTTCCCGAGCGCAGCCCAGGGAAGTTGATCTAAATGTCTCTGCTTTTACACACAGGTGCTGATGGACTAAGTCTGGCAGATTTATTGTCTGATTGTTTTCTCCCTAAATGACTCCTCTATCTTACAGGCCCTATTTGAACTTGAGACTAAGCCGAATGTAGTTAATGCAGAGGGTGTCCTAGCGCGGATTAGGGAAGAAAGACACCTGTTGAGGGGAAATTCACCATGCATCTCTGAGCGGAAGGAAGTCTCTACCAGAGTGCTTGGCCTGCACCCGGCCTCCGGAGGGCGACTTTGCACAAACCCGGGTCCTGCGACCCTTGATCAGCACGTCCCGCTCGGTGCAGCCTCCCTGCAGCTGGGGCGCCTGGCTTTGAAGACAGGACGAGGGAGCAGAGGCAGAGACAGAAAGGCCCAGGGTCGTCTGCGCAGTTTCGCGTTTTTACTGCATGAAGGGGCGTGTCCCACTCCGTCTGTTCCCAGGAGCTGAGTTCCACAGGCGCGGTCCTGGCGCTCAGAGGTCTCCAGAGCGCGCCGGCTCAGCCATGCTCCGGGTGCTCCTCCCAGCCCTGGGGATGGTTATTGTCCTGAGTGAGTAACATTCTGTGACAGTCCTGCTGTCGCCGAAGAGCTGTTCTCAGATTCAGAGCTTAGTGGGGACACTTCAAGGTGAAGGCTGCTGCGCTCACGGTCCCGCTTTGCTTTTCCAGGAGACGCCAGAGCCCAGACCGTGACCCAGCCCGACGCGCAGGTCGCTGTGTCTGAAGGAGCCGCTGCGGAGCTGAGGTGCAGCTACTCCCAAGGGACGGCCCTTTATCTCTTCTGGTACGTCCAGTACCCGGGCCAAGGCCCCCAGCTTCTCCTCAAGTACATTTCAGGGGACGCCCGGGTTCCCGGCATCAGAGGCTTTGAGGCTGAGTTTAAGAAGAGCGAGTCTTCCTTCCACCTGAGGAAAGCCTCAGTGCAGGGGAGCGACGCGGCCCGGTACTTCTGCGCAGTGACTGCCACAGCGCCTGGGCCTGCAGGGGGAGCCGGACACAAACCTCCGGAGATGCTGGGGAGAAGAAACGCCTCCGAAAGACTTTGCAAGAGCAAAGAACCTGGAGCTCTTCCAGCAGAGGCGCCCAGGGACTTGCCGGGGCCGCATGGGGCCGATGCACTTTTAGTGGTTGGATGGGGGAGGTGCCCAGGAGAGTTCTGATTCGCACTCAGCATTTTACTTTTCAGTAACTCCGAACAGAGGGCGAGCCTCCTCTTGTAGGCTTTTCTTGTACACTTTATGTTTTCCCAATTTGGAAATTGTAAGCTAGTTTTCCTGGCTCCACTCTGTTACTGGTTAATTTCTCTTCGTTTTAAGTGCTCCATTTAAGAGAGACAAAGGAGGTTGATTTCGATGTTGAACAGCTTAACACAATGGCGTGTGCATGTAATAATTTTTTAGGGATATCAGAGAAACAAGAGTGAGTAATCCAAATTGCAAATAGCTTTAGAGCTCTACTTAAGAGAGAGAAGATGCGAAATCTAGGTGCCAGATTCCACTTACTTTATTCATAAAAATAGATGAATTCTTTTGAAATCTTGAATTCTGCGAATCCACATCAGACATCCTCACAATTAGTGGGATACTAAAATTTGCTAATTTCTCCCAAAATGCTATCATTCTATTTCCACATGATTTCACAGTTGGAATTAAAAATTGATTCTTATCTGTTTAGCATTGCTATAACTGATGATGTGCAAAATTTAGCAATGTGTGGTTCCTGAAGATATACTGATTAAATATCGCAATGAAAATTTAAAAATCAAAAGGTTTATGATAGATGGATGACTGTCTTCTGGCTAGAAGGAAAAAACTTTACAGGAAGACTTTGTATCCTCAAGCGTCTGAAGTCTTGGTCAATAATGAATTCAGACTTTGAGGGAAAAAAAAGAGGAGGAGGCGGAGGATTGGACTTTTTAGTTGTGTCCTTCCTGATGCTGCATGAATGAGATTTGGGTTACAGGAATCCAAGTATATGGAGAATAATAGTGGATTTTGTCCAGTGTCCAGTGATTTATCTTATCTAAAGGGGACACCAGTAGGGATCAGCATTATTTTCTAAATCATATTAGTATGGCTACTTCTAAGATATTCATTTGAGGGATTTCTGGAAATGGGATAAGATATATAAAATTACTCATAAGAACATTACGCTAGGGGCCTGCGTTGTGGCATAGCAGGTTAAGCTGCTGCCTATGATGCAGGCATCCCTTTTGGATGCTGGTTTGTGTCCTGGTTGCTCCACTTTCAATCCAGCTCTCTGCTAATGCACTTGGGAAAGCAGTGAAAGATGGCCCGAGTCCTTGAGCCCCTGCCACCTAAGTTGGAGACCCGGAAGAAGCTGCTGGCTCCTGACTTCTGCTTGGTTCAATGCAGGCAGTTGAGGCCATTTGGGGAGTAAACCAGAGGATGGATGATCTCTCTCTGTAACTCTGCCTTTCAAATGAATAAATAAAATCTTTTTTTTTTTAAAAAAAAGTTATGCTTACTAAATGTTTTTTAAAATTATGTTCACTATCTTTTTGTGACTGAATATCTGTAAATTTAAAAAAATTAAGTAACATACAAATTGCACATTTTTGTGTGTTGGGATATTTCGATACATGCATACATTATATAATATCTACTCAGGGTAAGCATCTATATCTCCTTAAACATTTGTCATTTCTTCATTGTGAAAACATTTAAAAATCCTTTCTTCTAGACTTTATATATTATCATTATGTTTACATTATCATTATCTATAGTCACCTTATTGTGCAACAGAACACCATAACTTCTTACTCCCATCTAACACTAACAGTACCCACTAAATAATCTTTTAACCATTCCTCCTTTCCCCCCACTCTCCTCAGCCTCTGAGAACCACAATTATCCTCCAATTTCTATGAGCCTGTCTTTTTTTTTTTTTTTGGTAGACTCCACATATGACCATGACATACTTGTCATTCTGTGAGAGGTTTATTTCACATAACATAACGAATATCAAGTTCAAGGCATGTTGTTGCAAACAGCAAGATTTCATTGTTTGCATGGCTGAGTAGTACTCCATATTGACATTTGGATTGTTTCCATTTCTTGGCTATTTTGATTCAGATGTCCCTTTGACAGACTGATTTCATTTCCTTTGTACCCAGTAGTGGGATTGCTGGATTATATGGTAAATCTATTTTCAGTTTTCTGAGGAGCCTCCATACTGTCTTCCAGAATGGCTGTACTCAGTTACATTTTCACCAACATTGTATCAGGGTTATCTCTTCCCTACCTCCTCACCAGCACTAGTTGTGTTTTGTCATTCTGATGATGAAGCTGGTATCTTTATGAGACTTAGCCATATAACTTAGTTCTACATCCCAAAACAGCGGCACATGGCTGCTTTATGTAGTATACATGAGAAAGAGCATTGCCTCTTTCCATTCAAGACTAAAGTTTAGTATTGAGAAACTATGACTCCTGGCACCAAGGGCCTCATGACCTGGGCAAACATTCTCCATCCTCATATCAGCAGCCCTGCCTGAAATATTGAAGCAGTTTTACTTATATTGTCAAATAAGAAAATTAAAGTGGACACCTTTGGGAGCAGTCTAAATGCAGTTAGAGGGGCTCTTGTTACAGCAGGATTGTCTCCAGCTTAACTCTCGAACTGGATGTACCTAGACCTTGTGAACTGGGCCCAAATGCTACATATTATATTCTCCCAATGTAAGGACTGCTCATTTTTTTCCTTCATGACATTCAATGACACTTATTTCAGAATCATTACAAATATCTGAGTATGTGGATTGGGTGGAGTCCTACTTTCAAGCAGTAAAGGATGTTGTTGTTAGAAATAGGTGAAAAAATTCTGGCTGATACTAGGAGGCTGGAACTCAGAACTTTTAAAAAGTATATTAATTGTGAAATAATTGCCACAAATATACACTGTTGTTTTCAGTACCAAAACAAGTTTCTTGTGTCATTTATTAACACTCATTCAATAGCATTTCTAGAACAATTTACTAAATGCATTTGGCACAGCTTTAGAGCTCACATTGAAGCCTTTAATTTTTTAAAGATTTATTTATTTATTTGAAAGTCAGAGTTATAGTGGAGGGGGGAGAAACAGAGAGAGAGAGAGAGAATCTTCCATCTGTTGTTTTACTCCCCAAATGGCCATAATGGCTTGGAGTTGAGCCAATCTGAAGCCAGGAGCCAAGAGCTTCTTTCAGGTCTCCCACATGGGTGCAGGAGTCCAAGGACTTGGACATCCTCTGCTGCTTTCTCAGGCCCTTAGAAGGGAGCTGGATTGGAAATGAAGCAGCTAGAACTCGAACCAGTGCCCATGTGGGATGCTGGCCTTGTGGGCACTGGCTTTACCTGCTGTACCACAACGCCTACCCCAAGGCCTTAAAGTCTTAAAACTTTCATGAAATAATAGGAGACAGTATATCTATCATTTGCTTAATTTCCATTTCCAAATGTGGAAGTTCTTTTCATGCTAAATGCCACTATTTTGAGAAATGACAAAAATTCTTAATGGCAATTTATACAATATTATGTTCATTAATGTGGTAAAACCAGATACTGAGGTACTATTTGCTTTAATTATTACAGTGGTCCTCTGAGTACAAAATACAGCTCTGCTAGTGTCTGAAGGTGTGGACTGCACTTTACTTGGTATAGATGGGAACTTATTTCACCAGTTGGCTGGGTTGTACATTGTCAACTGGGAATTGTACTCATCTCTTTTAACTTACTCCCTTCATTTACTGGGAAGAAACTGAATCTGCATTTCCCACAACCCTTTTCTTTTAGTACGCACTTTAATTTCTATAAATGAGAAGCTGCTGTGTGATCCTAGGAATGTGGGGAGGAGAAGTCCTGACTGTGCTGATTCTACTGTACAGCCTGTGGGAAGGTGGCTGAAATCACCGAGGGTGGCTTTGTTCGGCCTTTTGGCTTTGTCCTAAGCACCATTTACTTTGGTATCAAGACAGCTCAGGCCATTATGCTTCCGGATTTCCTGCAGTCAGGAAAGATATGGTCTCATCTTTGTCTCATCAGCCCTTCCAATGACTGTAGGTCCGATTCTCTGCATTAAATGTCTTTCTTCATAAATCAGTTGGATTTGTTTCTGTTTCCCTGAATAACCCTTCACTAATAAATCTTGGTAAATCCAAGTTCTTGAAGTAGAGCTTCTGTGCTTTTGAGATCAGGTTGTTGGAATAATCTATTATTACCTGGGAATTAAGCTTAAGCTGTTTTTGTTACGGTTCATGAAGTTCTCTGGTGCTCTTCTCTGCCACAATTCCTCAATGCTATTGATCTCCTTATGGACTCATGGGGTGGCAAATAGATTCTCTCCCAGGACTGTAGGATTGTTACAACACAAGGGACAAGTTGACTTGAAAAAGTAAAAGAAATGCTGTAAAGTGAAAATGCTCTATTTCTGCTTAGACTTCAGGTTAAATAGGTTACAGTCACGTGGCAAAAGAGCCAGGCAAAGGAGAAAGAGACTCTTTGGTCAGAGAGATTCGACATAGGGAAAGAGAGAAAGAGGAAGAAAGATAAATTATTATGAACCTAAACAATATCCAGATCCTTACTTTCTGCCAAAGACTGGACTTGTTAGTGTTGACATCTTGTTATAAGACCATAAAGCTTCCTACCCAGAATTCACGAAGAGTAAGAAGCGCTCCAGAATGCACAATGAAAAAGGCTTCCAATGTCAAAGACATATTTGCTAAGAGCTTGGCAGAAAATGGGCATCTTCCTTCATCATCAAGTTTGTCCTGGAACATTCAGAAGACATTTATTAGAAGTTGAATGGACAGCTATACTAAGACTGAGCAGTGTTTAACTACCATGATTTCAATACAGCCATGAAAGGAAATTGATTTAAAGAATCTGTGTGGTTTGGAGGATTTTTTCTCATGCTGACCCCAGAGGAGCTTCACTGAGACCTTGACTGTGTACAGGTCATTTTTCCCAAAGCTTATTTTGTAAATTTGTACAACATGGTTGCATCAAAAACCACAAAAGAGGATTTCTAACTTCACAGACCTTAATTCTGAAGGCTGGTTTTATATGTAGGTGGAGACACTTCTAACTCTGTATTTTTAAATTAATTGCTAGCTAACTTTTATATGCAAACAAGTTTGATTGTTACTGTAGAGTGATTCTGTTCATCAGCAGAAATATCTCAACCTATGCTAAAAGCTGAGATTGAATTCATCATTTGGTATTCTTAGGCAAATATTTATTCTGTAAGTAATGTATCCTGTGGTAAAGATAATTTTATTAAACTATTTTGGTCAATAGTTTGCTCTCTCTCTCTCTATACACACACACACACACACACAGCATAATTAAGGCAAGTTTACAGAACAACAGGAATTCTGAAACACACACTATAAAGAATCCACCTGAGGCATATGGGTCAGTCACATTATCTGGACATGATTAAAATCCTAGGATAAAAGAAAATAATGACAAAATTTTACAGGAATTTATAATTTTAGTTACTATTTTCTTCAATATTGAGATTTTTAAAATGTTTTAATCAATATGCATGCAATATAGAATTCACAGTTTTATTTCAGAAGTTTATATCAAATTATATTTCTTAAAACTGGTGTCTTAAATGTGAAGCAATTGGTATTTCAGGTAGTAGAAATTCCTCAACCAAAGACTATGCATTTATTCATTCATTTATGCCTTCCAAGAATATTTGTTAGCCATCTGCTAGCAACATTTTTCTGGGTATAAGAATAGAATGGTGACACTTTCCTCTTCTCCCCGACCGCAGGAGCCGCTTGCGCCGCGCGGTGCATTCTGGGGACCCAGGTCGAGCCCGCCGCCGCCGTCGCCGCCGCCGCCTGAGGGGAGCGAGGAGAGGCCGCGACCGGAGAGAAAACGCCGGAGTCGCCGCCGGAGAAAAGTCGACTCCCCAGCCGCCGCCAGCGAGGCCCGCCCACCCGCTCGCCCGTCCCCCTGCCCCGTTCACAATGCAGCCTGCTTCTGCAAAGTGGTATGATCGAAGGGACTATGTCTTCATTGAATTCTGTGTTGAAGACAGTAAAGATGTTAATGTAAATTTTGAAAAATCCAAACTTACATTCAGTTGTCTTGGAGGAAGTGATAATTTTAAGCATTTAAATGAAATTGACCTTTTTCATTGTATTGATCCAAATGATTCCAAGCACAAAAGAACGGACAGATCAATTTTATGTTGTTTACGAAAAGGAGAATCTGGCCAGTCATGGCCAAGGTTAACAAAAGAAAGGGCAAAGCTCAATTGGCTTAGTGTGGACTTCAATAATTGGAAAGACTGGGAAGATGATTCAGATGAAGACATGTCTAATTTTGATCGTTTCTCTGAGATGATGAACAACATGGGTGGTGATGAGGATGTAGATTTGCCAGAAGTAGATGGAGCAGATGATGATTCACAAGACAGCGATGATGAAAAAATGCCAGATCTGGAATAAGGAGTATTGTCATCACCTGGATTTTGAGAAAGTGATTTCTCTGCAAAATTTCATAATTGAGAGAATTCCTGAGTTGATAGCTCTAAAGGTGGATGCTGTATTTGCCTCCTTTAACCCATTTTTCAACCTATTTGTTTTTTTAAAAGGCTTCACTAAGGGTTGATATGTACCATTGTAAGGGGCAGTTTTAAGTCAGCTAAGGCAATAACCTTATGCATGAACATTTCCCAGACTTCATGAAGCTGTTGAGGTCCTAGATAATTGATACAGCAGTTGTGATAAATAAAAACATTTCACTTAAGTCTCCTTTACTTCTTCATAACATAGATACTGACATGATAGGAAGTGCTCAGCTTAGGGAAAGATAAGTACATTTTAGGGTTTAGAACATGGACTCAAACGTGGCTGAAACAAATTGGCTGACACCTTAAACTGATAACCGGCTATTCCTCTGGTGTATCCTTCAGGAGTGTTCCACTAAAGTTTATTTTTCAAAAAATTCACTTCACATTATTCTATGTAAGTGATCACTTGTCAGTGTTCCAGATGTATCTTAGCTAAAACTAGTGAATGCCCTAACTTAGATGGTTTTTGAAGCCTATACATTTGGTATTGTTTGGCCCTTAAGCTTTTACATCTCTTAGCATGGAGGACGAAGAAAGCTGTACATTGTTGCTTGAGAGTCTGTACATTTAGACCAGATTTGTATTTGCACTGTCAGTATGGCAAATGAGTGAAGAAAATGTTAATACACTATTGGAAATTTTTTTTATTTCTTTTTTTTTTCTGGTTCAGCTTATACCAGGGCTGAAAACCTCAATTTATGTTCATGACAGTGGGGATTTTTTTAAATGTCTACATTCTTTCTAATAAACTGTTGGAAGACTTAAAAAAAAAAAAAGAATAGAATGGTAAAACAAAAAAAGGGTAAGTCTCGGCTATCCCAAATCATCTACTAATGACTAACAGGTGTTATGGCATTCCTCTGTTTATCCTGATACTTGCTTTGGGGATATTTCACTGACTCACAATGTGGCCAAAAATGGCTTACCATGTAAGAAAAGAAAAACAAACCCTTCTCAGAAGGGCAGTGATACTGACCTTCCA